AAGTCCACAGCACAGCACTCCAGGTATCTAGCTCACAGCTGCCAGGTGCTAGGAGCCAGACCACAGAAAGCTACCAAGACCTCACACCAGCTGAATTCAAGGCAGCGCAGGTCATTTCTACCTGCTACATGCATTGTTCTTAGGAGAGTAAGGAGAGGTATCCAAATAAAAGACATAATAGGTTGTAAAAGAAAGTCTGAAATAATCATTTCTCATTAGGGAAAAACAAAATTATTTTGTGGAGAGCAAGAGAAAAGGAAAAGGAATTTTGACCCCTGCTCCCCTTCCCAGTTCCCAGGTCTCTTTGGCAATGGTGTCTCCTCCCCAGAGATGAAAAAACCTGGTTGCCTATATACCCCTGATTAATGGAAACAAATTTTCAGAGCAGCTCCACACTCTGTTTAATTCTTTCCCTCCATGACTCTAGAAATGCTTGATTTGGCTGTGTAAAAGTAATACTAATTATAGTGATTTACATGAACTACTTACCATTTATGCCTAATTACCTCACAGCACAATAACAATTATGCATACATTAAATGTGTCAGATTAACCTGGTTGTAAGTTTTATTTGATAACAAAAGTAAACTGTTCATAAATGCTCATTCTTCCTAGTTTGTTGCTCATATAGCATGGTCATCTGCTCATAACTTTTTCAAATTTTTACTAGAGAAAACACTGTTACATAGTTAGGTGAAAGCAGCCTAATAGTCTGCCACCAATTCTCCTCACTGATAAATAACCCCAGCATTTTGCGAAGAATGTGCATTTTATTCTAACATTATGGCTTACCCTTACAGAACGTTTCTTAGGAGTACAATTTTTTTTAAGTCCACCAAAGTGAATATTTAAACATCTGTATCAAAAACAAAATCAAATCTGCATATATGCTAACCGAAATTAAGAAGTCCTGTATGTTCTCACTTACAGGCATAATTTTACAAGAGCCTAACTCATTGGAAGGTGTGGTTATCAAGAGCTGTGGGGCAGGGGAAATGGTGAAATATTGGTCAAAGAATACAACCTCCCAACTATAAGATCTAATGTACAGCATGGTGACTATAATTAATAATACAGTAGTATATTAATATTTGAAAGTTGTCAGAAGAGTAGATCTTAAAAGTTTTCACCACAAAGAAAAATAGTAATTATGTCAGGGGATATGCTGCTGCTGCTGCTAAGTCACTTCAGTCTTGTCCAACTCTGTGGGACCCCATAGACGGCAGCCCACCAGGCTCCCCCGTCCCTGGGATTCTCCAGGCAAGAACACTGGAGTGGGTTGCCATTTCCTTCTCCAATGCATGAAAGTGAAAAGTGAAAGTGAAGTCGCTCAGTCGTGTCTGACTCTTAGTGACCCCACGGACTGCAGCCTACCAGGCTTCTCCGTCCATGGGATTTTCCAGGCAACAGTACTGGAGTGGAGTGCCATTGCCTTCTCCGATGTCAGGGGATATAGGGGTTAACTAATTTTATTATGGAATCATTTAGCAATGTATTCAAGTATGAATCATCACACTGCACAATTTAAACTTAGGTATGTTATCTGTCAATAATATCTCAATAAAGCTGGGGGAAGAATCAAATGTCCATGAAATTATAAACCCTATTTATGAAAATCAAAAATTCTACATACTGGGCTTCCCTGGTGGATCAGTGGTAAAGAATCAGATTGCCAATGCAGGAGACATGGGTTTGATCCCTGTCCAGAAAGATCCCACATGCTGCAGAGAAACTACGACCATACACCATGACGCTTTAGCCTGTGTCCCAGAGCCCAGGAATTGCAACTACTGAGCCCTGAACCCACGGGCCATAACTACTGGAGCCCACATGCCCTAGAGCCTGTGCCCTGCAACGAGAAGTCACCACAATGAGAAGCTTACACACCGCAACTAGAGAAGAGCCCCATTTCACAGTAACTAGAGAATAGCCCACACAGCAACAAAGATCCAGCACAGACATAAATAAAATTATTTTTTTTTTTAAAAGGGATTCTACACTACTAGCAAAGTTCTATTGCTGGAAAATCTAACAGTTTAAATTTTCCTTCTCTGATAATTGGCATGTCAGTATTTTTAGAAGAAATAGTCTTGTGGCATCTTTATAATCTTCAAAACTGAAGTTTTACATGTTTTATTCAGGCTAAATTTGTTATCTGCAATGTCTTTTGCAATGCTAAATATTTTGTAGGTTTAAAAAATGACAGGACAAATACTATCACAAAAAGATGTTTATCAATCTACTAAATATTCATTCACATATGCATTGGGATTAACAAATATAAGCTTTCACTAGACATATTAGAAACTACCTGACTTGCCAAATGTCCTCCTTACATAAGAATTACACAATAAAACAAGGGCCTCTAGATAGTAAAGTATTGCATTTACTTACTGCTAAACAGCTATTTAGACGCAGCTCAGCACAGCCAATTCATACATCAGAGGTGGGATAAGATACAAAAGTCATGAGAGAAATTTTAACTTTCAGATAACAACAAAAATCTGCTATGTAAAACATCTTGTCGCCTGGCTAGGAAACATAACAGAGTTGTTATTTTATTTGGAAGACCTCCTATAATACAAACTATAATTAAGTAGGCAATACTTAAGCAATCTATGGTTTCCAAACTTCTTACTTCTTGATTCACCCATAAACTTTTGGGAACACAAGAGAAAGAGAAAACGTTGGCCATCAAAAGGGATAATTCATCGTTATTTCCCATGACCACAGTGCTGGACTAGCCACCACACCCTGGCGTCCAGCCGCACAGTCCACTTCTGAGGGAAACTGCCCTGCTCTCGGGAGCACCGGATGGCACCTTATAGAGAGCCGATCTTAGTGTTGACTAGCAGCCCCTGGAAAACTGGTGTGAAACGTCTGCCCAAACAGGGAGGAAGTGTTTGGGTGGCCTCTCAGATTCCTCCTCGGGAACTTAAACCACAGATACAGGAAAAGAAATGAGCAGCTGGTAGGATGAACAGAGTGGGAAAGAGAATTGGGAGAAGGAGCAAAGAGCAAACAGATCACTATGAATGGCAGGGCATCGGAGAACCAGCAGGGCCTGCTGCCTGCCCGTCATCAGGGCTTTCAGAGTCACTGCTCCGTCATGTCTGACTCTGCGACCCCATGGACTGTAGCCTGCCAGGCTCCTCCACCCGAGGAATTCTCCAGGAAAGAAAATTGGAGTGGGTTGCCATTTCCTCCTCCAGGGTGTCTTCCCAACCCAGGGACTGAACCCATGCCTCTTGCATCTCCTGCATTGGCAGGTGGATTCTTTACCACGGTGCCACCTGAGAATGGTGCCAAAAGCTGGTGCAGGCTCTGGGAGGCCTGGCTGAGTGATGGAGATGCCCTTTGTTGCTATTTTCTTTTATAATCTCATTCTACATCTCCATTTCTTTCTCAAGCCTAAATAATACTTTATTGTTTTTAACCAAAACATGTTAATACAATGCAGTGTTTTTCCTTACATAAAAAGAAAACTATTTTGTTACATTCTCAAGTGCTTTTTAAAAAGTAAAATTACTTTCAGTAGAACTTATAAATAAAGTACTATTGTTATAGTTATATTGTTATTGTTATATTGTTATACAGTACCTTTCTTATAAAGACCTTATAATAAAAGGATATTTGTGTTAAGGGAGGTAAGTAGTTTGGTCAGTCGATTAAAGGAAAACTAGTTTCTTAGGTTGAACCATATTCTAACTCTTACTACTATTAACATCCCTCATAATTCAAGGATGACACCACTGATAACAGAGCTTCTACAGCAGGACAAGGAATGGGAGTTTTCCCTGTTGTTTCAGAATTTCAGCAAAAACTCAAAGCTGAGGACAAGAGGAACAGGTCCCCCTACACACTAAAGAGAGGCACTAGCTGTATATATGCAGGAATTCCTTAAAAAGAGGTGGGGGGGGGGGATAAAAACACAGCCCCAAAACCAAAGTAATCAAGGTAGAAAATTGTCAGCTGGGTAAAGAATCCTGTGGCATTTCCCCTGGGTGAACCAACCTCACATCAAATGCAAGGGGTCCCCAAGAGAAACATCCAAACAGATTAGAATTAAGGCAAAATGGGCATCCTCTCCCCAGCTGGATGCTCACTTACATGGAGAAAATCTGCAGACAGCTACCCAAGTAGGGTGTTGAAGAGTTTACAGAAGAACCGGACATGTATGTGTCCCCAGGAGTACAGGGGTATATAGAACAGACACTGGTGTTTGCTTCTCATATCTGCAGAAGTCCAAGGGCAGGAGACTGACCGAAGCTGCCCATGCAGTAGGGTTTGGAGAAAGGAGCTGTGTTACTTGGGTGGTCTCAGGAGACACCACAAAGGTGACCTGGCTAGAGCTGTCCTGAAAGGACCCCAATGAAGAAGGCTAAGTGCAAGGGCAAGGCCATCCCCACACCACAAGTCTGTGCTGTGAGATGTTTGTTCCTTAGAGTCACAGCAGGTCGGTCACAGTGAAGCAGTGGGGAGGTCCTCATGGGAGTCCTGAAGAACGCACACAATGCTCCTCACAGAGAGCTAGCATGTCAGCATCTACCACAAACGGCCCCTTAACTGGTCACTCAAGACTCTGCTGTTTCACTCTAATCTTCTATCCCCCTCATTCTGACCCTAGGGAAGCCAAGCTAGCAGAGAGAGAATGGGAGAGAAAAAAGAACAAGTCACTCCCTCTTCTCTACTACTGATCCCAGGTCTGGCCTGAGCTAGAGTGAGGGGGAAGCTTTGAATTGCATACACGTTTTCACTGTAACTGGTATTTTTTAGGTATTCTTTTTACTACTTCCATATGAAGCTATTTGAATCCCCTTGAAGGTAAAAGAAAGCTATAGAAGATCAAGAGGTCAGAAATGGGGATCCAATAGAGCTTGTTTAAAGGAACTGGTAGGAAATTTTCAAGCTCTTTCATGACTGCACCCAATTGCATTTAATCTATTTTTAAAATGCTCAGACTTTTAACTGTTCCATCTTTAACATGACACAAATCTTACCTTAGAAAAAAGGCCTTCCTCTATCCTGTATCCTTTAAGGTCCTCATGCAGTTTCTGCAGACATTGTATGACTCTTCTTTGATGCTCATCATCCTTTAGCTCACGAGCTTTGATCAGAAAGTCATAGTGGTCCAGTGGTCCATGGCAAACAGCTAAAGCTTTTGAATAAGCCTCTGTAGCAGCAGTTGGAGACATACTCTCAGGGGGCTGAAGTGAATAGGCTATAAACAAATATATATATATAAGATTTAAGACTTTCTGAAATGAAGGTATTTCGTAGTGCTCAATACTGTTTCTTAAAACTTTTAACCAATTACAACTGTACATATTTGAGCAGCTGTTGTAAAAATCATTTTGATGAAAACCATAACATAAAACATATTTTGGGGACTTCTCCAGTGGTCCAGTGATTAAGCCTCTGTGTTCCCAAAGCAGGGGGCCTGGTTGGATCCCTCGTTAGGGAACTAGATCTCACATGCTACAACTAAGACTCAGAGCAGCCAAATAAATAAATAATTTTTTTTTTAAATACACATTTTAGACAATAAATATATAAATGATTGACTCAATTTAATAAACCCCAAACTCATAACCTATCACTATAACCCCTCTTCCAGGAAGCCTTTGTGACCCCAGGGACTGTAGGCTCCTCTGTCCATGGGATTTTCCAGGCAAGAATACTGGAGTGGGTTGCCATACCCTTCTTCAGGAGACCTTCCCAACCCAGGGATCGAACCCAGGTCTCCTGCATTGCAGGTGGATTCTTTACTGTCTGAATCACCAGGGAAGCCCTCTAGGAAGCCTAACCACCTCTAGAGTGCCAGCTTTACCTCCACTCCATTGAATGCCACCAAGGTTCATCACATCCTTCCCCACAGCAGAGGTGGTGCCTTTCTTTGCATTAGGCCTAAATCTGGTTCTTTAATACCAAGGCAGAGACTTAGAGACTAGTCACAAAGGGTTTTCTATTGCCTCTTTATTCCCTATCCAAAACAACACAGCATTCAGACATTACCATGTTGAATTCAGTTCTCTGCTTACAAGATTCCTTCTCCTTTTCCATTACCTTTAGGTTGAACACAAAGAGCTGAGAGACAGGAAGAGTGTTTCAAAGCAGGGAGGTGTGTTCATCCTTTTTTTAGCTTCTTGAGGAAGAAAACTGATTATCTGTGGTAAGGTCCAGTTATAACTCCATTCCTTATTTGGGGCAGGTTCAAGCTGGCACATTTTTAGATAAAGATTTTGCAAGGGTATTTTGCCAGAGTTTCTCTTGTTTCATTGAATACCATGTTCCCTTTGTTTCAATAATATGAAAATTACTTAATTTAGGAAAAGAAATAAGTCACAACATTATTTTCATCTTTTTCTAAGAAAGGAAAAAAAATCCATAATAAACTGTGACTGTTGAGGATAGGGCAGGGCTATCCCCTAATAACTGTTCTCCCTTTCTAAATAGGGGTTTCAGCTGGGTACAAGTCAGCCCAGTAAAATATTCCATACCCCCCGTCTCTCTGGCAGATAGGATGGCCACGTGACCAATGGGATGTAAGCTGAAATGCGTGTGCTCTGCTCCGGAGCACTTAAAGGGAAAGGGCAAATTCCCCTCCTCTCTTGCCCTCCCCGCTCTGTCTAGAAAGAAAGTGCCATGGCTGCAGCTGGAAGGGCCAACCTGGCAAGGAGAGGCAGACAGAATGCTGAGCACAGCAGAGCAAAGTTCCCCAACAGTGCTGGGCTGCCAACACAGCTCTGGACCACCTGCCTGGATTTTTATGTAAAATAAACGTCTATCTTGCTTTTCAGGCAGTGTATTTTGGGGTCTCTTTGTTACAGAGGCCTAAATTGTACCCTAACTAATACATGGGGCTTACAGCCTGCAATAGAGAACCAAACTAAGGGTCTCCGGGGATCCTAGGCCTCATAGGACCAAGGACAAGATTTGGGTTCATGCTGGAGCTGAAGGCACAGGTTGAGAGTTCTGCAGAGGTTTCCAGCAATTTGAGATGTTTACCAGGGTGGTATAAGAAACACACTTGCAGTTGGTCCACAGTCCCTGACACAGAGCTCATAAAATCCTTGGAATTTCCTAAGTGATAGAGCATCTTTTGTTATTCATAATGAGCCTCTTTCCACCACACATATGGTAATGAACTCAGGGAAGGTCCTGAAAATAGTCTCAGGACAGGGCTGGTTCCCAGAAAGACCAAGTGTTTAGAAAGTTGGAACTTTCAGTCCTATCCACCAACCTATGAGGGCAAGGGAGGCTGGAGATTAAACTCTATAAACACTCTTGAACAATAAAATGTGGAAAACATCCAGGATGGTGAACACATCAAGGGAAGGTGACGTACCCGGAGAGGGCATGGAAGCCCCATCCCTTGCTCTGTGCATCCCTTCTATTTGCCTGTTCCTGAGTTGAACAGACCCTTTATAACAAACTGATAAACATTTAAAGTGTTTGTTTCTGAGTTCCATGACCATTACTAGAAAATTATCTAACTTAGCTAATTATCAACCCCCTGAATTTGAATTCAGCCACGCAGAAGGGTGGGAAGTAGGGCAGCACAGTTGCAGCAGGCCTCTGAAGTGGCGCCATTTGTATGGGATTGGCCCTTTAACATGTGGGAGCTGATGCTACTACCTTCAGGAAGATAGTGTCGGAATTGGAATTGGTGGATACCCAGTAGTGTTGGAGGGTTTGAGACTCTCACAACCAGGGAAAATGCTCTTTTCCACTCCCTGGAATCAACTAAGTAAAATAACCTAAGATAATGCTAATCTCCTTCTCTATCCCCAAACCCTTTCCCCAGACCGCAACCAGGTCCTCAGCCAATCAACATCAATGCTACCCAATTTTCTGTGTGTGTTAGTCACTCAGTTGTGTCTGACTCTTTGCAACTCCATGGACTGTAGCCCACCAGGCTCCTCCATCCATGGGATTTTTCCATGCAAGAATACTAGAGTGGATTGCCATTTCTTTCTCCAGGGGATCTTCCCAACCCAGAGATCAAACCCAAGTCTCTCACACTGCAGGCAGACTCTACTCTGAGCCATCAGAGAAGCTCTTTACCCAGTTTTATATCCTAAAGTCTCTCTAATCCATTCCCTCCTCCTTCTTCATATAACCACTCCAGCCAAAGCTCTTAATTATCTCTGGCTTGGTCTCCCGGCCTCTGATCATCTCCAGCCTCAAATTTATCTTGACCACAATCTCTTAAAAAAAATCTTCCATCAACAACAGAAATGATCCTGTTAAAATCCAAATGTGATTTTATCAATATTTGGCTTAAAATTCATCTCATTGTTTAAAGGAGTGATTTTCAAATGTAAGTTTAACAGCAGCACCTTTTTTATACACAAAACCTTTCATCGGATCCTAAATTTATTTAAGAGAAAAGAAGAAAGGGGTAACAAAGTCCCAGCCTCTCCATATCTCCCTCATTCTCACACCCATATCCCTTCATTTCCAAAGTAGCCGCTAAGACCTCTTCCCCACCTTATACGATCACATTAAGTAAGAACAGTGCACAGAAAAGAGTTAACACAGCAGGCCTCAGACTGCAGAGCTTAGAAATGCCTGCTTGCAAAAGTGGGACCTTGACTGGCAGCTTGAATTCCCAGAGGGTTCCCATCAATCCCAGAAATAGTAAGAGTGACTCACTGTGCCTAAATGTTTATATTATATACAAGCAATATGGTTTATGCTGAACACCTAGTTTACTTCTACAAGTCTGGAATTTTGGCACAGGCTAGGCAGAGGATGAGATGGCTGGATGGCATCACCGACTCGATGGGCATGAGTCTGAGTAAACTCCGGGAGTTTGTGATGGACAGGGAGGCCTGGCATGCTGCGATTCATGGGGTCGCAAAGAGTCAGACACGACTGAGCGACTGANGTGTTCACTGGAAGGAATGATGCTAAAGCTGAAACTCCAATACTTTGGCCACCTCATGCGAAGAGTTGACTCATTGGAAAAGACCCTGATGCTGAGAGGGATTGGGGGCAGGAGGAGAAGGGGACAACAGAGGATGAGATGGCTGGATAGCATCACTGACTCGATGGGCATGAGTTTGAGTAAACTCCGGGTGTTTGTGATGGACAGGGAGGCCTGGCGTGCTGCGATTCATGGGGTCGCAAAGAGTCAGACATGACTGAGCGACTGAACTGAACTGAACTGAACTGAGGCAGAGGGTGGGCTTCCCAGGTGGCACTAGTAGTAAAGAGCCCACCTGCCAATGCAGGAGGCATAAGAAATGCAGGTTTAATCCCTGGGTAGGGAAGATCCCCTGACGGAGATCATGGCAACCCACTCCTGTATTCCTGCCCATGGAAAGAGGAGCCTGGCGGGCAACAGTCCATAGGGCTGCAGAATCAGACACAACTATAGCAACTAAGCACACACGCATGGACAGGCAGAGGGTGTGTCCATAACTACCACTAGGCCTTGAGTCTCTAAAGAATCTTCCTAACAGACAACATTTCACACCTGTTGTCAAAGTTGCTAGAGGTATTAAGCATGTTCTGTTTGACTCCACTGAGAGAAGATGCTTATAAGCTTCTAATTTTTTCCCAAACCTTCCCCCACATGCCTTTTTCCTTTGCTGATTGTGCTTTGTATCCTTTCACTATAATAAATGGTAGCCTTGAGTACAACTATATGCTGAGTCCTCTGAGTCTTTTAGTAAATCACCAGAGGGTAGCCTTAAGGGGATCCCCAACACAGATGGTGTTCTCATTCTGAGGTTCAAGGAATCAATAAACACAGAAAAAGCATTTGACAAAAACTAACACCCATTCATGATAAGAACTCTCAGTAAACTAAGAATAGAGGGAAATTCCTTATCTTGATAAAGAAAATCTACAAAAACCCTACAGCTAAAAATATACTTCATGGTAATAGCCTAGAAGTTTCCCACTAAGATCAAAAACAAGGAAAGGATGTCCCCTCTCTTCACTCCATATCAACACAGTATTAAATAATGCCATAAGACAAGAAGAGGAAATAAAAGGTATGCAGACTGAAAAGGAAGAAATAAAATGTTCTGTTGCCAAATGACATGATTGTCTATATAGAAAATACAAAAGAAACAACAAAATAAGACTCCTAGGACTAACAAACAATTCCAGTAAGGTTATAAGACACAAGGTTAAAAGAATCCAGATAGGAAAAGAAGAAGTGAAACTCTCTCTGTTTGCAGATGACATGATCCTCTACATAGAAAA